CAAAATTGTGAAAAGTACTTAAGTATTTCATGTCTTATAATCTACTTCTGAAGACCGTTTCAATGTTCTTCTTGAGGTCATTCAGAAAAAAATTGTTTTGTAGAAATAAATCATGGGACACTCGTAAAAGAAAATTCTATTTCCAGAAATGTTTATCACTCTTTTATAGCAATTAATAAATAAATGTAATAACTAATACTATTGTATATGCTTACATATGTTATGCATGTTTTTTAAGTATGCCATTGTATATAAAATATTTTACAAAAGGAAAAATAAGAAAACCCTACTAAGCTTTAATTTTCTTTTAAGATACAGAAAATACAGATACCAACAACTTCTGGCTTTGCTTTTTGTTTTTTTGTGGGTTTTTTTTTTGGTGAGCCTAAGGTCTTCTAGCAAAACAACAAGTAATAACTGCTTACAGACAACTTAAATCTTAATACTACATCTTCTTCACAGCACAAATGTTTAAAGCATTTAATAAGAAACCACGTTACACTTTCTTAACCTTTTTTCTTTCTAATCATCAACTTTCTTTTGTTGAATTTCCGAAACACTAGAAGAGCAAATATGTTACTTCAGTACTTTAAAAAATGAGCTGCATGAACCTTGTTAAACTGTGCAATATGACAATATAAAAAACTGTTCACACGAAAAAAGCCTAGAATTCTGATCGATGCATTACATATATAATTTATTTATAGATAGATAGATTCACATGTATTTAATGATATTTATAAAGGTAAAATACAGTAGATACAAAATGAACGCTGACAATATTAATTGACACAAGAGGCTCTCAAATAAACAAATATAGTTTAAGTGCTCTTCAATTTTTACTATCTTAAGCTTGTAAATTGAAGGTGCACATATTGCTTGAGCAGTCTAGATGCATATGATATAAAATAAAAAAAATAATTCCAGTGGTATCATAACTAGTAAGAATTCAAATTCAATTAATATACATGAGATACATATTTCAGTAAGAAATTAAATAAATTCTTATACTGCCCTGAATAAGTATCAAAAACAATGCAAAAGAAATGATCGCAGCTCTGTAAACCATTTAATCACATCACAGCTGAATATTTAGCAACTTTTAATTATCATCTTCAGCTACTCCCATGTTTTTTTTTTTATCTTTTTCAGTATCACAACAAACAAAAAAAACTGATTGACCATATGATGTGAAACCTAAATTACAGTCATGCTGATGATCTTGGCTATTGACATTTTGGGGCCACCACATGCTACTGGAATAGATACCTTAGATGAAAATAATTAGTGAACACAGAAGATCTATTTTACATTTTCAAACTTTGTTTTACTTTTTGGGAAAGTTATTATGACATTATGTCTTACAGAGGCAATCTTTCAAAGAAAAAAAAAAAGACCAGCAAAATACACAGAGAAGAAAAGGAGCAAATAAACTAGACAATGAGATTGTTGGTATAATTGTTGAAGTTAGGATAACAACTACTTAACAAGTCTTAATAAAAACATTTAGAACATGATTACACTTTGCAAATAATTCTCTAGACAAACACAAGTTTGTCTTAATAGTCAACATTTCTTTTCTAATGCCTGAAAAAAAAAAAAAAAAAAAAAATAATAAAAAATAAGGAAAAAAAAAAAAAAAGGATCATTGTTCTTAATTACAAATTTGTTAGTCTAACACATAAAAAACAGTCCAGTATTTGCTCTTAGTGATGGGGGAATTAATTACACCTGTGGCTTGTTAATTATCTGAGAATAAAGCTATATCATTTTTTTCTTTTTTGAGGTCAAAAAAGAATTTCTAGCTCTCAAATCAGCTCAACACATACTCCAAAATGGATTCCGTTCATCCTGAATTTTTGAAAAAGTCACTCAAGAATACGAAAGTGTTGAAAGCTGTTTTTTTTGTCAGTTTGCTCATGAAGTGAAAAATACAAAGGAAGAGGAGTAAAAGACACATTTAGAGAGAACAATCTTGAACTGCAGAAATGGAGTGTCAAACAGTCAACAGAAACAGCAGGGGTTATTAGAGAGCATTTAGAAATGTTCATATAACTTATGCCTGTTTGTAAATCAGACAATCTAATAAAAGACTGGTGTTTCTGTGAGAATGGGGGAAGGTAGGTGGAAAGAAAAAGTTGTTAATAAATGATTTGCAAGCATGATAATGTTTTTCAGAACTGAAACAAGCGTTCTTCTTTCATACTCTGGGATTCCTATTTCAAATTTGCCTTTCAAGCAGGTAAAGCTCTTTACTAACAAGACCTGTCAGCATTATTGAACATGTGAGTACAAGCTGAGGAGGGAGAGGAAAAAATGTTCCTATGGACAAAGTTAAATCTGTAAAAAATACTGAAGGACTGAATTATTTAACACTCATTCCACTACCATTCCATTCAATTTGGCATCACTTTCTGTGTTTTGTTTTGTTGTTTTTATCGTCGTTGTTTGAAGCAATATAAATTTGAGGGCACTACAAACAGAGTAGGTCTAAAGTTAATTCTTCTAGTTCATGTTCCCTATTTCCCTTTAGTTTTCTGATAAGCCTAAATTGAACGTCTCAAGAGTCCCACAAACCCCAAAGCAAATGCTGTAATTTGGATTGCTTAAGAGGCAGAAAGTTCTCTAATCTGACCCAGATTTTCTGCTAGTGTCAGTTAATAGAATTCACTTGGCAGTCCTTCCTATTAAACAAGCCTTTATACTCCTATCTTTGAAAAAAGAATTATTCAGTAGCAGGTTAAAAAAAGTGTTTTAAAAAGCCTGTCTGCATTCTCAAGAGTGTAGAACTGAATTAACAATGATACTGAATGTTTGAAACATCAGTACAATGATCAGAACTAGTTTGAAATTTTCAGTGAAGACTGCTTTTATTGAAAGCAGTGAAATTTATCCATTTGATAAACTCCCAATAAAACAGGAGACAAAATGTCACCAGACACTGACAAATATGTTGGATGACTGATAAAATTATTCCCTCTTCCTTTCTTTTGTCCTTTCTATAGAGCTTACAACATTTTTAGAACATTCGACATTAAGAATTCCAACATGTTTTATTTGCTGTATTTACATTTTAAACAAAAATAAAGCATGACATGTCTTACATTTTTATTCTTTTGAGAAATCAAATTTTTATTATATTTTTAAACAGGAATTACCAAGCATATACCGTATCAAGAAGTGCGTCTCTAGGAATTATTTAATACTTCTATTATAAATTGAAATTGTTTATTAAAACTAAAAATACTAAAAATAGTTTTTGTATCTCAAAAAACATCACACCAATTATTTAGCTACATTTCAAAAACTTAATACTCATACCATGGAGTAAAAAAGTTAAAAACCAGTATGAATTTTGTTACCTCAATTACTGCAATTGTAGCCAGTCACATGACTGGCTTGAAGTAACTCCACTACTGATTAATTCTCTGCATTATTTTCTTAATTCATGGACACGATGAAAACTTTTTACAGGAACTCTAAAATATACAAATACAGTACGACTATGACTGGATCAAGTCATGTTACTCTGTTGTAAGGAATGTATTAGCAATCAATATAATATGTAACCTTCATTTGGTCAACTTTGCAGTTTTCAGGTTTCACATATATGGACAGGATCTCCCAAGCCTTCTCTATTACAAGATAAACAGTCTCAGCTCTCTCAGTTATTCCTCAGAGGAGCTCTCTGAGTCATTCTTCAGCTCTCTCAGTCATTCCTCAGATGATAGGAGCCTATCATCCTCTTCATGGCCCTTCATTGAAGTCTGTCCAGTAATTCCAGGTCATCCCTGTATGATGGGTCATCCCTGTGAGCCCCAGAGCATATGACCAGCATTCCAGGAGTAGTCTCACTCAGCTGAGACTTCCCCCAGGGGAAGGATCATCTCTCTCTCAACTGCCAATACTTTGCCTAATACAGTCCAGAATACCATTAGTCTTCTTTGGGACAATGGCATATTGCTGGCTCATGTTCTGTCTTCTATTCATAATACTTCCACTTGAGATGCAGATACCATCTCTTTAAAAAACACCTTAGTCTTACAGATTCTCATCATGTACTGATCACCGAGAAAGTCTCTGCATTACGTACATCTTCCAGTTATGTTACTCAAAGTTTTTTCAAAATATTTTATGTTTCATATTTTATATTGACTAAGTCAATTCCACATCCATATCAATACCGCAACTCTTCAGCTTACATCAGAAAAAGATTACTTCCAGATTAACTACATGGGATGTCCTGATTAGTTCTACAAGGAAGTGATGCCAAATCCAAGGGACATAAAGATTGTACTTTTTGACCATGATGCTTATTTGTTCAACCATAAATCTTTGGTCCAGGCATATTCAAAAATGGAGGTAGACTTCCAGTCAAAACTCTCAAATCATGCTCCTTAAGCAAAATAACTGGAAATCCCTCAGCTCTTGATAAAAAATCTAAAGGAATGAACATTCAGATAAAACAGATCTTCACCATAGATCTATATATAAATTCAGCTGATTACTTTTAAAGCTTAATAATTCACAAGAATCTGTTGTCTTCTTGTCCAGAAAAAAAAAAAAAAAAACGACATCAGCATCAAGACTTCATTCAGCGTGTCTATAGTGACAATTTGCTTTGCTTTATGTTGTCAATTAAAATTCCTTTTATTTTTTTGCTAAGTCAATGGAATTAGATTACCACAGAGATTTCATTACAGCCACAGACAGGACAGCAGCTGAGGTATGCAATTTTCTCCCTATGATGGCGGTCCTCACTAAACAGTTTATTGGAATAATTGTCTATGTAAGGACAATAACTGTTTCCATCTTGAATACTGTCCTCCAATAAAATCATCACTTCACAAAAATGGATGCAAATGAGCTGGTTCTATTACCACTATCATTTAGTAGGAACGTTTATGGCTGTTCTGTATTTAACACATTTAATTGTAATATTCATTGCTCAATGAAGTTCACAGCATGTTAGAAAGAATAAATAATCTGAAACGAACAGAATCATACTTCCCCCACTACTCTGTGATTTCTAAATAGTGAAATGCTGTGCTGAATTTGTCAGAAAAACAAAACCAATATCCAGCATATTTTCCATAATCTTATATCCTTAGTCTTTGCTTAACATCAACTATCAGCAACCCTGAAGACAGATTAATGAAGTACATGGTATTTTCAATTAAGTCAGTAAGAATATCCATGTATTAAATTTGTATTGTTCAACACAGCATTAAGTATGGTTTATACATCCATAAATTCTGATATACTTAACAAAAAGATGAAGAAATAGTATGAAAACATGAGCAGAAGGGAACAAGGCCAAAAATTCACATTACATTCAATTTTATACCTATCTTGACATTTGGCACTTCTGACCTTTTTCCTTCCCTTGGCTATTCAAATTTAATCAGCTATGCCCCTAAAGTGCTCTGAACAAGAAACAGTTGCTTTCTGAAGGTGAATTATTGGCCAATTAAATTCACTGATTTAATTCCATATTTTCCCAACAACTGCATGAGCAAAATTCAAGGTGTAAAGGAAATATCTAGATAAAAGCTGAGAGGCAGCAGAGAAGTCAAAGCAAATTAGAGATTCTTAACTCTATAAAGGCCACTGAAATAAACAGGTATAAGGGGGAAGTGAGGGGAGAGGGGCAGGAAAAAAAAAAACTTGTTACATACATATGAAGAATACAGAATAAGGAAAACTGATGATTTATTGGTATAATAAAAATATATGACAAAACCTTCCACACACATGTCCACTTCATGCTTGACTCGATACATGGGAAGATTCCAGGGAATGTAGTTCTATGGAGTTAAGTCTTGCTCCAGAAAAAAAGAAACACTTTTATTTCCATTCGCTGCAATTGATGCTTTCAGAGAAGCATAAGATCGTGTAGCTCTGAAACTAGAGACACGAGGACAGAATATGAAACATAAAAATGCACATGGCTCTGTTAAAAGACAGAGGGGCAGGCAGTTTTTTGAAACAGTAACACAGGTAGAGATTTTTACTGACTTTTCTGAAACTGAATGAAGATTAAATGAGACTCATTCCACATAGAGTGTGTTCTCCCTGGCATGAAAAGACTAACAACTCAGTATAGCTTGATAAAGAGAAGACTGACAGTAATGAAACAAAATAAGTTATTTTTCTTTTCTAAAAACTGAAGAGATACTGAAGCAGTATCCAGCAACTACTCCACTAAGTCTTGTGAGGTACTAGCAAGCACAGCTGTAAAAAGGGAGGAAACCTCTGGAACTACATTGAACCAGCTTTATGAATAGCCAATGTGCAGCTGCACACTGCAAGAAGGTAGGGTCAGCAGAACGGAAAACTGGCAAAGATGAAGCACTGATTAGCTGTAGTACTCAGATGTAATTAGTCAGTAAGTTCACAAGAACAGAATATTTAAAGGAAATTAGTCACAGCAAGAAGTCAAAAACTCCTCACGGTTTAGAATTAAAAACATAAAAGAAAGATAAAATTTTGAAGATACTAGTTTCAAAAGATAGCTAACAGCTATAAAAAGACAGAACATCATGCAGATGTCCTCAAGCAGTCTGTTCTGCTCGAGCCCCACAAGTGATTCATACTGGATTTTGTAAGTAATTTGATGTCCATGGACAAGGGCAAAACTGAAAAAGCAGTGAGGAATATTCACATGATCCAATCAATGTAGTTATGCAAGGGAAGACTGTATGGAAAGAAGTACTAAAAAAGGAGAAGAGACAACCAAAGATAAAAAAAAAAACCAATAATTTTACAGTAAACGAACTGGGAAACAAGCCAATTATTCACTGTTAAAGCTAACAAGATTAAGCAAATTCTCTGTGTATTTTGTGGAACCAGCTAGGGCATCAACAGAAAAAACCTTAGTATAACCTAGGAATGAGCTGTGGCTTTCAAAGCAAAAATGCTGAGTTATATAGAATATTCATGAAACTTCTAGAGGCAGAAAAAATTGGCAGCAACACAACAAAACAAAAACAAATAAAAAGGAAGACGATTCTTTAATAGTTTATTACTTTATTATACTTGTCTTATCAATAAGTAAAAGCTTCACCAGTTCTCTTTAGATAACAACAACTTAATGTTAGTCTTCAATGTTTATTTAGCTAGTTTAACTTTGATAGTAATTAAGAGTCAATCATGAACATTCTCAACAGCATCTCATTATGAATTACTAACATTTTAAGTGCAGCAAAAACAAAATGATACAAGTATGGTGGGAACAGAAAAGAATCTCCAATTTGATCAACTTCCTATAATTCATCTATGCTTTCATCAAGGAACCAAATCTCCAAATAAAAAATGTTTAGAACAGTTCCTCTTGTAGCGAAAAAAAAAAAACATAGTCAAAATTCAATTTTGCATACTAAAAAAATTTCCCTATATTTCTGATCCTGATTACTGTTTCCAAATAATTTCTAGCTTTTATCTTTAGGATCACGAGAATACTGCTAGCTTATGCTGCAATATCGTAGATGACAGCGGAGGGGCAGTTCAATTAAATGGTGTCTGACATGGAAATTTGGATAAAGAAAAGATGTGTCAGTGAAGGCTCAAGTGGTGAAATTAGCACTGCACTGCACTCTCTCCTTCAGTGTTCTGTTTTCTTCTATACAATCCAGCTTGAACTATGAACAATCAACTCATAAAAGCTCTCGGGGAGATCTCAAAAAGCTGACTATGATATTATTATTGTGGGTAAGTCATCATTCTATGAACTGAATTATTTTAAACATTTCTTCTGAATTTATAACTAATTAACTGTAGTAGTTTGAAAAGCAGATACCAATATTTTTATACAGTAATTGCTTTGCTTTAAAATTGAAGAACATCATCATAGTATTACAATTAAAACATTTTTTTTTCTTTTAATACATATTATCTCAAAATAAAACAGAAAAAGTGTTATCTGAAAGTACAGCTTCAAGTTACTAGATAGGAAGACTTCTAAAGTCTCTATAACTTTCCATCTAAGTTTGATGCAAAAAATTGATGGTAAGAACAAACAAATATTTTCTAAATATCTCTGGTTCTGAAAGACGTAAATTAGGCAAGTGCAAGATTAGTCTCAGTAAATATTACTGGCAAAAGGGAAGAAGGTTAAACTCTCAAACAACACATGCCCAGTCCATCCCTTCTTAGTCATATTGTTCTCATTGCCTTTGTCATCTGGACATAAAATTTCCAATGAGTACATGAAATCTACTAAAATTTCTGTTAAGCTAAGTTAAATTGAAGAAATTGTGGAATTTTATTAATAACTACATTTGAAACTACCATCCATAGTGCATATAATAAAACTAGTTACACGATTAATTGTCCATTTCTCAAATACAGACTATATCAGAATTCCCCTGAACAGAAATTGGTCACTTAAGAAATAGCACAATAATTTATTTTCAATTTCAATTATCTGTTCTTATAACATACAACGCCAGCCACATGAGGACAGAAGCATAGAGGTTTCTAAAAGCAGCTCATTAAAATTGTCTTTGTTCTGACAATATTCTATTCTACATAACTATTGCTGCCAACACTTCCTGGCAAGGTGGCAGAGTGCTTTACGCTATCTGAAACAAGTAAAGATAACGCAGTGGGGAAAAAAAGAGAAGAAATTTGACGCTAATCCTGTAAGAGGCTTTGCAATGATAGCCTATACTCCTTATTTCTGCAGAAAGCTTTTTATTCTTGGAGTAAACCCTTCAATAGCAGTACAAACTTCCCTAAGGTCTTCAACACAAGAGAGTGCCACAAATTTTAAATTTTTTTCCTTCACAAATAAATGAAAATACAGCAGCAAAATACATATACCATATTAAATACATAGAATTCATTCAGAAAAGAAAGTAATAGATATACAGTGCAGTGTTACTGTAGTATTTTTAAGCTATCCTGATGTATGGCTTTGAAATATTTGTACTTGAAAGTAAACGGTTAAGATTATATAACAGGTTACACACAAAGGCATAGGTGCAAGAAATCTGCTCTAAAAGGTTGCCTTCCAGTACCTAAAACGAGGGTACAGGAAAGATGGGGAGGAATGCTTTATCAGGGAGCATAGGGATAGCACAAAAGAGGATGGCTTTTAACTAAAAGAGTGTAGGTTTAGATTAGATATGATTAGATATAAGAAATTCTTCACCATGAGCAGAGTGTGGCACTGGAAGAGGCTGCTCAGAGAAGTTGTAGACATCCCATCCCTGGAGGCATTCAAGTCAACTTTGGACGAAGCCCTGAACAGCCTGCTCTGGAGGGTAGCAACCAGTCCATGCCATGGAGAATGGAACTAGATGATCTTTCAGGCTCTGTCCAACACAAAGCATTCTAGGAGTCTAAGGCTTTAAGATTAATTTTTGTGTTAAAATAAAAATCCTTTTTTTCTTTTTTTAATATCCTTTACAATACTCTCATTTTTTCCATTCATAGACGTCTTTTTTTCTGAAGATGATTTATTCTTATATTTCTAACAATAAGAATAAAGAAATTAAGAAATGATGAGCTATGTGAGCTAAGAGCAAGCATAACTTTTGCAACATAATATTAACTCCTGTCCCTTTATAGTTCTTGCAGGAAGATTTCAAAGTGGGAGCTTTGGTTATTTTTAAATTAAACTACATTGCAAAGCCATTTTTTTTTTTAGGTACTGAGAGTAGTACATGAAGTAGTATTAGTACATGAAGCCACAGAAGAAATCTTCATTACTCGTAACCACACAGATCTGGTGGTGCCACATTCAAATATTTTTAAATGAAATTCCATTTTTAAGTGAAATCTAACACAGCTGATTAAGAAAAACTGAATGACAATGTATGTCACATAATGGCCTGATTTAGGAACTTCAGAATTTCCAACAGTACTTTTGAGAAGTGTTTTATCTATTCTTCTGTCATGTGGTACTTACTGCATACCAAACGTTTATTTTAAGTTTTCTGAAGTAATCTTCAAAGAGAAACATGAAAGGCAATGCATTTCTTTCTAGCCATATTAGTATTTGCTTGCTGGAATAATTGTGTTGCATTGTATTTGACAGCCAAATTGCCTCCTGTCATTAGTAAAAACAAACTTTTAATTTCTGCTCCATTTTTATACTGCTACCATTTCAGACACGTTCAAGTTTTTAGAAAGCCATATTTTTTTTTTATATCTGGTAGGTACTATTATAGTTATAATATATAAATAATATATAATATAAAAATTATAAAATAATTTATGATATCTCCATCTTTGGTACAACCTGCAACTTTAAACAGAAAGGTAAAATAAGCATTTTAGGCTACTATGCCCAATACTTATTTTCCCCTTAGTATGATCAGCAAGCTTGGGGGAGAAAGAGGGGGAGGAGAGGGAAGCACAGTCTCAATCATTGTACACAACTCTAATTTTTACAACTCTAAGAACAAAAATCCAAAGCACAAATCTAAAATGCTTTTGAAAGCTATACAAAGTTTTATATCCTCCTTATTAAGCAAGTATTAATTTTTCTTGCATTAATTTAAAAATTACCATTATTGAATCAATTCTTAATTTTAAAAGGCTCTGAAACTTAAATGTAATATAGAATTAAAACAAATTATTCGTCAGAAGAATAAACCATGTTCTCTGCAATTTTCCTCATTAAACAAATACCATTAGAAAATATATTTTGAAATTTAAACACTGCATTTCAGTTTTTACCTAAACACTGAAGTTTATTGGCACTTTCTACTAGTTTTAAAAATAAATAAAAAAAGTCAGTTCCTTGTACTTTCCAAAACTGATAATGTTCACTTATATGCACTTACACGGATTTGGAAGACAACAAAAAAGAA